ATTATTATTGTTATTATTATTATTATTATTATTATTATTATAATTATCAATAATCCAATTGACATTTTGATAAATAATAATTAATACCTAACATTGATAATGGCAATGGCAGCTGTTTTGCAATGATGAATGATGTCCATTGATTATTATTAAAAATTAAAGCAGGCCTAGAATCAGATATATGTTTTTTCATGATAAAAGCATACATGTTAGGTAATGTGTCAGTGTAATAGTTATATTTATTTATTACCTCTCACAGAGCTTGCAGTGCCTCTCCTGATAATGCCTTTATCTGCTTTTCTCTCTAAGAGAACGGAGCCATATTTATTTAGGCATTATCCAGGATCAGCATCTACAGTACGTTTTGGACTGAGATGTTGGTTCAAAGATGACACAGTCATGTAATCCTGGAAACCAGGAATAGGAGACTTTTGCTAAGAGTGAAAGTCTAGACTTGACTTGAAGTCAAGTCAGTTTGGAAACTTGAAGTCCACGGGGTCCAAAAATGTGCAATAATGCCCCAAAAAGCTCTTGTACTTTTCTCAGCTTTGAGCAACACAATACATTTCTCAGATATGAACAGGCCCAATAGAATAATGTGGGAATCTGACTGATGAGCTTTAAAAATACTCCTAGAAATGTGTTTCAAATCGCTCAGGTGTGAATGGCAGCTACAAAAAGTGGAAACCCCACTAATCTGTTTATTGGTCTCTGGTGTTAGTTTTATAAAACTTCAAAAGATATCAGTTATCCTTTCTCAACGTCCTTTTTTGCTGTGCATTTTGTAAGAACTCCCTTTAAACAATTTTGCAATGCTCAGTGTTTTGCGGCAGCACCCACCTCTTTCTGTCCTCCCTTATAGCCACCCCTGATGAACATATACTTACCCAGCCATGCTCCCTCGTGGCCTCCCCACACTGCTGGAGCCCTGGGTATGTGTCCTCCTCCATGTAACAGAGAGAAAGTATGTTACCAGCACACCAAGGATCTTCATTCACACACCTCTTTATCAATGTCCAAACACAGTGTCAAACAGATATCAACGTAGCTAAATGATAGTAGCTACTAGACATGTGCATTCAGATTCGGACGAACCTGCAAATCAATGAAATTCAATTGACTCAGTGGTTTGTCCGAATCCGAAATAACAAATTTATTATATGCCCGAATATACTAAAACTATGTGGTCTATTCACGAAGCAGCCGAAGGATCTAGCCGTAGCTTTGGCTGATCCTTCGGCTAGCTTTGGCCCCAGGACCCCTTTGGTTCAGTAGAACACTCTAAGTCTCCTGCTCCCAGCCATCCAGGAGAGAAGCACTGCTTTTTCTTTTTTATTCTGACATGGAGCCGTTGGCTGGCGTCAGAATAAAAAAAACATTTAAAAAAAAGAATTTTCACCATAGGAATGCCTTGCTAGATTCCTATTGGCTATTTCAATGCTGAACATCTTCGGCCGACCCGAAGCCACGCGAAGCCACCCGATGTACGGCTGATTTCAGCGGATATACGGCTGAAATCAGCCGTACCAGCCTGAAGTGAATAGCTGAACAGCATTCGGATCACTTCGCTTCAGGTCGGTCATTCACTCGGCTGCCTACGGCAGCTTAGTGAATAGACCCCTATATTTTGGCATACCTAAATTAGTTTGCAGAACAGGTGGCGGCCATATTGGCCACCAGCAGAGGCGCGCCACCATATTTGAGTATATCTTGGTATACACCAAGATGGCGGTGCCCGAACGTACAGGCGCTGCCATCTCGGTGTATACCAAGATACACTCAAAGATGGTGGGGCACAAGCGCAGAATGCACCAGCGGCCAATGTGGCCACCGCTCATTCTGCATTCTCAGTGTGACTTCACGCGCTGAACAAACGGTGGCCATATCAGCCGTTGGTGCATTCTGTGCAGGTGCGCTGCCATCTTTGAGCGGTGCACCATCTTTGGCCACCGCTCGTTCTGCATTCTCAGTGTGTGGTTACGGATTCAAAGGTCTCCAAATCAGAAACAGCAGAAAAATGTGTTTTCGTTGATGAAACGAATGGAAACTAAAGACCCTTAGTGTGCTTGTAACATACTTTCTCTCCTGGGTACTTGTGGCGCCATCCACAGTTACTTCAGCTCCTGTCTAAAAAGGGGTACAACAGTCAGGTGTGCAGTGGGATATCTACATGACTCCCCTTTTGTGACAATGCATAAGCCTGACCAGCCCATTACCAGGCCTGACAACATTTACATGCAATGCCATGACATCATCCCTCTGTCTAAGCTTTGATGGCAGTCAACACTAAAACTTACACAGGCAGAGATGTTGCAGTAGGGAGGCACTTATGGAGGTAATATACATGTTGGAAAGGGGGGATATGTATAGGAACTGTCTTAAAGAACTTTGCTGAACAGTGTGTAGGAGCAAGCACCTGCAATCTGGAGCTGAGGATTGCTGAAGTCTTGGAGTGGCTTCATCTTTTCCCTGGTGAAGGGGGATTTTCTGACCCCCAAAATGCATTGGCTATCTTTACCATTTGTGGATTTAATCAAACTAATTGGACTCTCAATACTTTTGTTTGGCCCTTCTTCTGAACTATTTCTTGATTTCTCGAATTGGCTGAACCCTGTCTTTTGGGGGTTCCCATGTTTTGTAGAGAGCTGCTGAACCTAAGCCATTAGGTTAAAAAAAACTTGTTTTGTTTTTGCTTTAGGATTAGTGTCCAGAACCTTGCATTTACTTCTCTTTGGCGTTTTATCTTATCAGCACGTGGAAGAAGCAAGCAAGGGCAATGTAACCACATGGGGACTACATACATGTAGAATTTTTTTGTGCAGTCTTTATTTGCTGACCATAACTGACAACGGCAGCAGGCAGGAAATCTCTGTAGTGTTTTATCATGCATAATTTTTCAGAACAAAAGTGGATCTTTAGCTATGAAACCGTGTGACTGCCCAAAACCTAGTTACAGGGATTTTTAACATGTTCCTAAGTAATAATCTGTAGATGTATCATCTGATTTTGATGCAGTGAAGCAAAGCTCTTTGAATTATCAGCAAATAAGACTTAGACAATAAATACAACTTATCAACCTCAAACACTGTATCGAACATATCAAATTTACCTTGAACCAAGAGTTCAAAATTATTTTTGATATCCAGTGTTTTTTGTTTTTCAATATAAAAAAAAATCCACCTCTTTGAATTAAATAGTAAAAGGCCTGAACGCTTCAGATATGGTAATGATTTCCTTCTTGAGTATGTTAATATTTGTTGTACAAGGGATTGTTTGCACAGACCCTGCAGCTCTTATCTTACCCCAAAGTAACATTTAAAATGACTGTATCCTTTGTCTTCCAAGATAATGCATTTTTAAAATGGAACTGAAGTGGAAATATCAAAGATGTGATATGACCGCAGAACTCTATCTCTGCTCATCTATAATATTGGAGTGGATACGTTGTGTGTTCCCAAAAAATGAATTTAGTTAAAGGAAAAAAGTGTTGTGCCCTTACACAGTTATCTTCACAATAATATGTGCCAGGAAACCATTCCAATGTGCTCATATTTTTTTTTTGAAAATGTGTGTGAGATTGTGGGCAATTTCACACAATTGTAAGGGTGCAATCGTGTAGTTAAGTCATAAAGGTTGTTTACCCTTTGAAGAATCCATTGGCCACATCAATATGTGTTAGTTCCTGTCTCTCTTCCTGCCTGCCTGGGAGTTTTATGTGTTCTTGCCCATATTGTGCTACTCCTCCTGTTACATGCCTAATACTACCAATGAATCAAAACAATCATATATTGTATCATACATATACAATATACTTATGCATGTATACAATTATATATTTTCCATTGCAGGTGTACAGGCATATGAATGCAAATGTAAAAACTTGATCACTGAAGTTAATCAATGTACATTATATGGAATATTGAGCATGAAATTATATTAGTATGTAATTAAAGAGAACCCAAACCCAAAAGCTATGGTCTCAGTTGATTTCATTTTTTGTATCTGCTGCTTTCATTAACAGCATACACTGTGGTTTTGCCATGAAGGTCCCTTTTCAGGCACTTTCTGTTGTAGGGTCACACTGTCACACATGCCCGCAGGTAAGACTACAATTGGCTGTGCTGACACATTGTGCAGGCATGGTGCAATGTGAAACTGATGCTGTAATAAGTAATAGCAGAGAGTAAGTAAAAGAGGCTGGAGGAGATCAGCAGCACTGAGATGCAAAATGATGGAAAAAAAACCTGATGCCAGCAGTTTACAAAAAAATAATTATACACAGAGGGGAATTTATCAAGACTGGAACAGACAAAAAATATATTAAATAAAGTGTTTTAGAAACCTAAATGTCATCCATTTAGGATTTAAATCTACTTTAAACATGAATTATCCCAACATAAATGTATTTAAATTAAGTGAAAGTCATTCCCACAGTGAACAGCTTGATGATTTTGTCAGGTTTCTAGGTTAGAAAATGGAACAATCCTTGAAGCAATGGGCAAGGCTCAATACATTCTCACTTCAGAAGTGTTCTTACACAAATCTTAATTGTACTTACTCATTTCAAACTTTGGGGGGTTGTCATTGACATCAGTGAGGGTAACAGTGACCGTTGTGGTTCCAGAAAGGCCACCCATGTGACCACCCATGTCCTTGGCTTGAATGACCACAAGATATTCCTCTCTTGCTTCTCGGTCCATGTTAGGAAGTGCCGTTTTGATGATTGCTGAAAAAGGATAAGATTTCATAAGTTGTTTTTTTTATTCATTTTTGAACCAACCAAGAAGATAAATACTCAAAGACATCTGTAAAAAACAAAAACCTTAATGGCTGATCTTTGTATGTGATTAATGCCCAGGCTGGTTTACCCAAAAACCTGGATGTGCATATTTAAAGGTGCACTCTAATGAAACAAAATTATCTCCACTTCCTGTGTGATAACCAGGAGAGGAAGTGAGGGGAAATCTCAGACAGCAGTGAAAAACACCACAGACAGGAATGTTGTAAATTAGATGATGGCCTTAATTCACAAACACACTAGGATAAGGATCTGTATAATCAAAAAGTGATAGATATGTTTAGCTGAGTTCAATGATCCTTCTTCTTTTGTGAAGCTTTGTGAATTAACCATAATGTCTCACAAAGGCATACACTGAACACGCAACTTTGACAACTGTTGGAAAAAAGCTGGATCCAATTCTTTAAACACAATTTAAAAACAGTCAAAGCAAATAGTACATTATATGATCCAGCCCATATATCTATAATATAAGTCCATCCCTCATTAGGAAAAATATGCAGCACCATATAAAGTTCTTAGGCATGAGGACCAGACATGTAAAAGTAATGGATCTGCAAATACTTGCAAAATTAAAGTTAATTAATATCAAATTTACTGCTGTCAATCTAGAGAAAGTATGTTAGATCTTGTACACAACTCAAACATTAAATAGAAATATTTCACCATCACATAAAGTGTGTCATAAAGTGCATAAACAGTAAATTGGCTCTCTATCTTTAAAAACACTTGCTGCTAAAAGTTTTGTATTTCATAACAGGAAAATAAAATGTTTTTACAACAGCTTAAAGCCAACCTTTGCTTTCTCATACAGGACAAAACAACAGGTTGGCTTTATTCTACCTCCACCCCAGAAACATATGACCCCTTTTCCTATTTTAAATGCTTCATATGCTAACATGATAAATCTTTTACAAGGCTAAGGAATAACTCCCCCTCCCCATGTAACAGGACTGACCCAATCACCAAGAACCGGGACTGTCCTATTGGAAAAAGGGTGTGAGTCACTTACTCCCCCATACCTGAGAGTACCAGGTATTTCTCATTGCTCCTGGCAGCAATGGATCAAATCAAAATGATTGTATTTTATTTATGTATTTATTTATGTATTTACTTGCAATAGTGATCCCTTGGGATAGCTGAACTGGCCAAAATGTGGTTCACAAGATTTTGGTGAAGCCAGCTGGAAGTTTGCAAACTCCGAACACATTTCCAAATCTTACTGAAGTCTTTGGGAAGTGACACGTGTAATTTTCTGTGCCTTTTTTCAAGGCTAATTTGCAAGCTTTTGTAAAAAAAGGGCAAGGGTAGCTGGGCACATACAGATTAGCGCAGAGAGGGAGTTTTATTGCATTTTAAAGAGTAACACTGAGAATGTACAGATATGATTAGCGGTTACATTAAAGCTGCATGTGAGGTTACAGAGCAGCATGAATTAACCCTTTAATGGTGGCATAAAAAGTAACATTCATGGTCAATAAATGACAGCTCCCTTTCCAGATTCTGTTTATAAACAAACTGATCAGGGATCCTGCATGATGTAATGGACCAAATATGGTCATTAACCATATTTGGTCCATTACATCATGCAGGATCCCTGGCTAGTTTTTTTTTTTACAAACAGAAGGAGGCCTGGGATTTGTCATTTTGTGGTGCTAATATGACTTTACAAGATTGTCATGCAAGGGGCCATTGAGGCAGTGGGGCAACATCATTCAGCAGGTTGTCATGTGTATCTACATGACTGGACCTGGTGATTAATCTTGGAATTAAAGTTACATTTTTTTGTATAAAGGACTGAAATCACAGTGTGTATCTTTTTTATTATTGGCATTTTTTTGGGGGAAAATGAAAATGGGTACTAATGAACACCTTATTTCTTCCCCTGTGGGTGGCTCATTATAAAGAGAGCTTCCAGATTCCACTAGGACCCCACTACACAAATTCCCACATGCCTTTTGGGGGACAGGATGTAATGATTGGGTCCCTGTCCGCCTAAACATGAGTACAAGCTATACCCTCCTAATGTTGAAAGGCATGTGGTCTGGTACGATTCAGGAAGGGGGGTGAGGTTGAGTGCTCGCTGCCCTCTCTTTCCTGGTCATGATTATATTTAGTCAATGACATTACCTGCGATCCCCAGCTGGTTTGTTTTAGGACAGAACCTGGACAGGGATCTGTCAATCTGTCATTCAGAACTGTTAAATGTATACAAACAGCAGCCAGCGGTTCACACCGGCAAACCTGCCAGATATGGCCTGTTTGTTTGGTTGTTCACTGAACTGCAAATGAGCTGGTTTCACCCCAACCTGAAGCTAATCTCTAGTGATCCCTTTATAACAAAAATTACACATGACACAAATACAATGCTTGAAAGAGACTTGGATACACTATATACAACATTTTTCACATGAAGGCTTTTCGTGTTTTGAAATTGAATTGGAAATATGGTGTGTGGTCATTTTAGATACCAACAGAGGTACGTGAATGTGTCAGTCACATGATTCAACATAAAAATAATTGCATATGCATGTGAATAAACAGCCTTCAATTCTTTAAAAATATGAGATTTGCTAAATCCACAGAGCAATTTACTTATATCTAGCGCTTAATCGAGTACTTGGAATTAAAGTTTTTAAGTCATTTCCTCATAATGGAGTGAGATGATTCCACTACTTATTTTGTTCTGTACAGTATGTGCTTTACTTTGGGTACTTTGTTTAACCTGAATTTCCTGCATCTAAGTACACTTCTTTAGAAACTGTCATTTACACCTTGAAATATTAAAGTTATAACAGCACTAAGTGCAAGAGTTTCCAACTTGTAAAAAGACAAATATACATTTTGAAACAAGGCCTTTGTTTCTGTTGCATTAGTTGTGTGAAAAGCTTTTGTCAGATTGATGTCAAGATGTATTTTCTTCATTTTAGAATTTAAATTATTTAAATGAAATTTGTTTCCCCACTTGGGTACTGTGGAAAGATGTACCTCCTTCAGTATGGGAGAAGATTAGTATCTAAACATCCATCCTTCTATCTTATTTGGTTGTAACAATTAAATGTCATTGTGCTATCCATACACATGTCATGTTTGTAGCAATTTTGGCAAATTTCTAGTAGCTTTCAAGTGACTTTAAACTCAGGAGTTAAACCTTAAAAATGCATTCAAATACCCTAACTATCGTCAAAAATGTATCTCTTTTGTGTATCACTCAGTTGTAGATCCTCCAGTGCTGAGCTTAGAGTGGTGGCTTCTTTACAACACACACAGGGAACATGGGGAACAAAAGTAGCCACCCTCCAGAAGGCAGGACAGTGTCTGCACGAATTCACAAGATTATTTGAGGATCTACAAGTGAGTGATACACAGAATAGACACTTTTTTTGTTTATAGTTAAGGTACTTGAATGCATTTTTAAGATTTATCTCCTGAGTTAAGAGTCACTTTAGGTGAGTCCCTTAGACCTTTGTATTATTTTACTACATGCCAGACAACCTAAGAATATCCATGTAGCCAAAGCAAATGTCAACTCCTCTTCCACTAAATCACTGGTGGTGCTGATCTGCTAACACTTATCTTTAAACATAATGTGGTGTTATAGTGGAACATGACCTCTTTTGTGGAGAAAGACAAAAGATCATCTTTAAACTCACAACACATTGACTTTCCTGCTCTATTTCAAATAGCTAATGTGGTAATAAGGATCTAAAGATCAGAATATTTTAAACACATAGAAAAATTACATGTTACAGTTACTTCTTGTGGCTTATTATCTGTCATCTTTCCTAATTTTGTTAAAGTAGTTGGCTGTCTTTGATGGTCTTTCTGTAAGCTCAGCAGTTTGTAGTGATGATGAAAATGAACGTGCTGTAAATGGAATTAAAATGGAGTGATGGATGATGGATATGTACAGGCTAGAATCTTCCATGTGCTGTACGAGCTGGCCTGTTACCAGAAAATAAAAGTTGTACTTAGGTTGATATTCTGTAAACTAATACCATCAATACTTTATATTGAACTCTAGTCAGCTATAGATTAATGCAGCTCTGCATTTATCAATACATCTTTAAATCCTTTATTACATTGAAGTACATTAAGTACCTGAATTTCACTTGGTATCAGCCTTTTGCAATACCCTGGGAGAGGAAGAAGCAGTACAAGGAGCCAGTCAGGTGTGACACAGTGTGCCCATGTGCTAATAAGGATCATGCTAATAGGAGGAGAGAGAGATGAGCTCATCAGTCTGTGTCTTCTTTCGCTGTCCAGTCACAGGCTGAGGGAGGGGCAAGACCTGTAAGTGTTATGTAACTGCAGCAGACCAGACAGGATTGTGCTGTGTAATACAAGTCCTTTGGTATGTAAGACAGCTCTCCTATATGTATTTAATCTGTGAGTTTAGCTTGTTGCCTAGACTCCAGCTGTAACTACTGTATATGGACAAAAAGATGACTTTTTTCTTTGCACCCCCACAAATGACAGCCATTGCATTTTTTTAAAATCACTCTCTTAATGTAGCACATATAATATTCACTGTGTAAATGGCTCTGTTGGAAATGGTTGCTGTTCACTTCTAAAAGCATGCTAACTTCAAGTTACGTTGTCATGAGAGAACCAGGGGTGCTGGTCTCCTTATTGCCTGGCTGGTATATGGTTCCTCTGGCTTCAATACTTTAAGTAAAAGACACAAAGCCGGTATGCAGTTATCGACGTCTTATTTTTCTGACCTTCATACTTGCTCTGTGGTCAGTTACTGAAGTTTTGAACCAACAACATCAGGTTGAAGCCAGCCATCTAGCATTAACAAAAGGAAGGTCAGCAATGGCTGCCTGCACGCTTCTCTCTTCACAGGATTCCATTTAAAAAAAATGCAAATTGTAAGCGTCCAATATTTTCTGCAACACATCGAAAAAGTAAATTTGATAGGCAAT